CTAAAATTTTACAAGGTACTTTAGCATGCATTGTAAAATTGAAAATGCTAAAGTTATACATTAATCTGTTAGAGTGTGGAAGCTATGTGAACTAGACGCTTAAAATTATATTGGACTTACAATGTACTTTAACATGTATTGTAAAAATATAATTTTGAATAAATTTATAAATTTGTGAATTGGCTGTACAGCTTAAAAAGCATTGCTGAATTTAACATCAATAAAAATTTTTATTATATTTAGAAACTTAACTCTATATATTTTTATATATATTAATTTGATTTGTAAAATAAAATTGGTATATAAAATCAAGCTTTTTAAAAAATATTTGTTATCATATTTTAATACATTTTTTTAACTTCCTTAAAGCATTTAATAGCTTTAAAGTGCTTGCTCTCTCTTTCTCACATTACATCTCTCCCGTTCGTTCACTATCTGGCAAGTCCAAATAATTAGATATCAATGCGAATAACTGTCATAAACCACTTTACACTCTTAATTAATCCAATTAATGCCATATTGGAATTTGTGATAAAATTAAAAAAAAAAAATAATGAACGAAATTCGACCCTACACAAATAATGAAATTAATTTGTTGAATAATTACAAGCTGGGCAATAAGTGAACTCATTATGTAATGAACGGTCCTTTCGTACGGTAAAAACTCACAAACAGCAACAAAACAGAAAGCGGCGAACATCATAATAAAAATAACATTAAAGTGGCAAGGCAAAAGGGATCATAAAAATGAAATCAACGTATTAACTACATGGCAGACAGCAGTCACACACATACTCACGCACAAGCACACGCACACAGGCACATTTATAGTCATAACAAGCTCACGCCATATCCTCATCCAGCAGCTGGGCAGATAAAACGCAACGAAATAAAATCAATTCAAATAAAAGCATAAATACGACCACAGGAAATGAAAATGACGATGACTCCGTTGCCTTTACACTCTCCCTCTTTCTTTCTCTCTTTCCCTCTCTCAGTGTCTCTATCTCGTCTCTGTTGCTCCCCATTCGCACACGCAGCACCCAAAAAGCTGGCGCTGCCCACCCTCAAGGGTTCGGCCTGCAGATGACTGTAACTGTTCTGCCCGAGGGGCAGAAAGGGACGGGGCATGGGTGTGTCAGCATAACATGGGCAAGGGGAGAGAGCAGCACAGAGAGGGCGAACTGAGCTGAACATGTAAGCGCGCATTTTACGGCACAAGCATTTTCGCTTAATAAAATGTTAAGTGGGGGAGAAAAAGGGCGGCAGACAAAAAGCGACAGCGCCACTGTGAAGTTGACTGTGCGTCTGTACGAATGTGTGTGTGAGGCAAAGGACTTGCAGAGAGAAACGACAAATAGACAGACAAACAGAACGCCCAACTGTCAGACAGACTGACTGCCAAGCGAAGCAGTGGGGCAGGCAGAGTCGTAAAATTATATTTACAACACAAACAAAGCTGTCGACAAGGCAGCAGCAGTAGCAGCAGCAACAGCACAACGCCAGCAGCGACTGCGACGACAAGAGCGAAGCTGAATACAATGATAAGCATGAAGCGGATGAGAGGCCCACACATACACAGACATTCTGTTACACGTACATTCTCTTCCCCTTCGCCTCTTGTTAGCTCTTACTCCCACTCTCTTACAAAACTTGAAGCGCCTGCAAAAAGGGCGCCGTGTGCTTTGTTGAGCGCCAGGCAAGAGATGAGACCGAGGCGCCCAGCAATTTCCCGCACTCAAAAAATAACAATGGCGCGTTGAAAATATCCGCTTCCGCTACCGAAGGCACAAAAAAAGACAAGATGTGCGAGTGCGAGTGCGAGTGAGATCGTGCACACAAGGAAAGGCAGCACAGCTGCGACTTTAACTGTTGTTCGCTGTAGTCTGCTTTTTGGCTAAGCGGCGAGCATGCGAGTGAGACAGAGCAAAAAAACGCCAGAACGTGCGACTGGCAAGCAACACTCCAAAAATACCAAAATAAAAAATATAAAAAAATTTAATTCAATTTAAACACAATGAAATCATATTTTGCAACAAAATGTACAAAATTCAGTTTTGGCCCATGGAACCTGACAACTTGAAAATGCTTTTCATTTGCTCGACTTTATGTGGGTGTGTGTTTGAATGTGTTTGAGTGTATTTGAGTGTGTGTGCTTACGTAGCTTTGGCAGCTGGCAATTCCATTTCTATTAGCATTAGCTGGACAGCCAAATCATCGTGTGGCAGGTATATTTGTGTGTGTGTGGGTGATTGCTGCGGGTGTTGTTTGGATAGCCATGCGACTAGAATATGTTGGCATAAATATTTATACGCTTGCAGCGGCGACACAAACACAGACGCAGTCGACAAGCCAAAGCACAAATATGCAAAGCTCCCTTGCTACTGTGTGTGTGTGCGTATGCATGACTTTGGTTTATGTGCACAGTGGGAACTCATTGGAGTGAACAAGTGCGTTTAAGTGACAGGTGGATTGAATTGAAGTCAAGTATAAATTAAATATAAGAATTGGATCTTAATAAAATAAATAAAATAAGGAAATAAATTACAAATAAACTTAAATTTTTAAATTCAGTATACTATTTGATTTCTTATAGGAGTTCAAACACTAAAGCGGTCTCACTCTTTTTTCTTTTTTTCTTTCTTTGCATAGTACAGTTTCTGCTCTTAATTAAATTTACTATGCAGGCTTGACTGTATAATAGAGTCTTTGCTATGCATGCGTGTGTGTATGTGTGACTACTTGAAAATCACATTAAGCCCGCTGGCATAGCTCTGCCACCGAGGATGTATGACAGACTAACTGTATCTCTCTCTTTATCTCTGTCTCTCTCCTTCTGTCTGACTGTCCAATTCTTGTATTTGCAAATGGCAACTTGGACTTCAGTCGTTGCGTTGTTGTTGTTGCGCCTTTTGCCAGTTTTTGCGATTGTGTATGTGTGTGTGTCTTGTTTATTATTCATGCTGTGTGCTCCTTTACACCATTACAAGGACCTTGTGGCTGACGCTGCGCTCTGTTTAAATGGCGCATAAAATATTAATAGCTTCATTAGCATTCGCACAAATTTCACATAATTACATAATCAGAAGAGGGGTGGTAGGGCGGCAAAGGGAGCCAAATCGAAAACGATGTGCAACATTTTGTGGCAACAAAGCCGCTTTATAGTATGAATTATATACAGTTTTCCAAAAACTGTACAGACGCACAAAGCCCTTTTAGGCCAAATTGAGGTCCCTTTGCTGGGCGGCGCACTGAGCCGTTAAGTGGGCGGACAGAGGAAGGGGTTCAAAGTGACAGCAAACATTTTGCCTATGTGCAGGCCGGGATTTGAAATATTGCCGTGTGTGTCAGAAAGGGAGAAAGAGAGAGAGAGAGATAGATAGCGTAAGAGGGGGAACGCAAATGAATGAGACGGCAAGCAATAAAATGAAAAATATTTGAACTTTAGCAAAAAGCGCACAAGGATATCAATTCCCAGAAGCATACAAAAAATACACAAGTGCATGTGCGAGCGTGTGTCTGTGTGTGTGTGCGTAGTCAAATCCAACTAGAATCAGAATCACAGCAATAAAATTGAAAGAGCGTGCACGAATGCCAATAGAAAACAAACAGCAGTGAGCGGAGCAGAAGGGAAAGAAGAGGCGGATGGCTGCTCAGTATATTAGGTTGAAGCACAAACAAGTTTTTTCGGCACACAAATGGGACATAAGAGACAAAAAAAGAAAAGGAGAAAAAGGACGAAGGAAACGACAGACAACGTTTATTTGCCTTTTTGCCTCAATGGCAGCAAAGGCGAATTTAAAATGAGAAACAAAATCAACAACAACAACATTGATGACTGATTCGTGTCAAATTCAGCAAAGCTTAAGAATGTGTCATCCGATATGTAATAAGCTCGAGCACGTGTCCTGCAAAAGGAAAACAATATTAAGGCAGTCAAAGTTACACAAAGGTCAAACGGAACATTATGGCTTTATTTTGCGCCTAATAAATCTCATTATGTCATTATATGCTCGAGCAACAACAACAACCATAACAAGAAACAGCAGAGGTATCCGAAACAGCAAAAAAGTAGCCGCCAACTGCGCTGCCGGCGTCATCGTCGTCGTTGAAACGGCAACAGCCAAACGACATGCCAATCAGTAATCAATCCGCACGCACATTGACAACGAGGACGTCGCCAGCTCTGCCGCGCGCTCTTTTCACCTACCAAATACAATTTGCAAAGGCAGAAATGAGTGATTGCTATAGTATGAACTACCAAATACCCTACTTGGTCAACTTCAAATCTAATTTCCTTCATCAAAAATAAAACAATTTATATTTATTTTGTTAAATAATAAATTATATATACGGTCAAAACTATAAAATAACATAAGCAAGTATATTTTATGGATATTTTGGATTATTATATATTACTCTTATTGGCATGGTGCTGGTCTGATTGGGCCAACTTAATATTGGCAATAAGCAACTCGACAAAAGGAGCAGCAGTAAAGCTGGCAAGTGAGACCACACGACGTCACAGTAAACAAAATGAAAAGAGATAAACATAGAGCGGCACTGCGCAACATGGCGTCAGCAGCACTCAGCGGCACTGGCGTTGAGCGCGAGCGAGAACGAGAGCGCTCAGAGAGCGAGCGCACAGCAATAACGCCGCCATTAAAGAAATTCCTCTCAGAGAGTACGACGTGTATGTGCATGGGAATGCTTTAGTGTGCGGCATGCGTGTGCAAATGCCGCAGAGTTGTCGACTCACAAGTGATAAAATCAAATAAGCTTGATTGCTTAGTTATTTATTTTGCTTAAAACAATATGATTATATTTACAAGAGCTAAAAAAATAATTAAATTGTACACATTTTAAAATTTATTTTCTGGGTTGTCAATTTATTGGCTTGTTTACTTGAATAGCTCAGCTGGCAACCCTGGTCTGCGCGCCGCTGTGTTGCCAGCGAGAGCCGCTCAATTTATGCGCTTTTTGTACGCGTTGCTCCTTCGTGGCGGACAGTACGGATGAAACACTGTCGACGCAAACTAGGCGAAAAGTTCTATGAGAAATAACAAAAAAAATAAGAAAAAACAATCCAACATTTTTAGCATAAATTGTGTGCTAAACCATAAGATTTCCATGAGCAAATAGGCAAAGGTATCAAATCATATTTCATGCCTCACAAAAATTTATGCAAATAATAAAGTGCTCATGTGTGTGTGTGTGTTTATGCATTAATTTATTCAAGCAACACAATAGCAAAGTGTTAAAAAAAATTGTCTTGTGTCTATGCCTCCTCTTCTGCGTGCTCGTCGCGGCGCGTCTTCTATGTTTCTCGGTGTATGCGTGTGTGTGTGTGTATTTGTGTGCATGAGTGTTTTAAGCAATTAACCAGCAGCAGTGTAGAAATGCCAAAAACGCATTAAAAATTATTACTCGTTGGCTGTCTGTCATTCACAAGAAACAGCAATAACAACAACAACAATACACAAGTGCTTTTTGCCGCCGCTACTCATAAAACAAATTACCCACTTGGGCTTGACTGTTATGCGTGCGTGCGTGTGTGTATATATATATTTGTATATGTGTGAAAAGAGCAGCGTAATCATCATCAGCAGTCGCTGACACACAAGCAAAGCTACAACTACACACATATATACATATACTACTATACACGCATACTGATGCAAACAAAAAAGTAGTAAGCACTCGCCGCAATAGTAGTAAAACGGCCAAAAAGGCAGTGGCAATATGTTGCCACCAACAACAAAAACAACAACCACAGCAGCCGTATAATACCGGAATAAAATTTCTATACAGCGCGCTTGCCGACGTCGACGTCGTCGTCTTCTCTCATATGAGCTGTGCATGTGTATGTGTGCATTACTCTCGCTCTCGCTCTCTGCTTTACTATCTCTCTGTCGCTCTTGCTTGTACGACTGCAGTGAACGACAGTTTTTATTTTTTTTCTCGGTTATAGCAACAATGTTGGGCAGCAGAAGCATCGCAGCGATGTTGTTGGCGTTAAGGCAAATGTTTGTGTGTTTGTAAATGCGACGCATACATGTATGCGTACATTTTGTATGGTTGTGTGAGAATGTGCGAGTTTTTTTATGTTTCGCACAAACATTGCGGTAAAAGAACGCCGACAAACGTTCGTCGCTGGTCGCTAAGTCGCTCTCACTAATTGTGACGTCTGCGCGCGTGCGTCAAGTCGGTCGGTCGGTCGGTCTATCTGTATGTCGTTCGGTCGGTCGGACGGTCGGTCATTTCGTTGTACAACTAACTCCCCCGTGTATTTTTTACTTCAATCGTGTGTATGTGTGTGTGTGTGTGTGTGTGCGGTCCAAACATTCATACACTCGCACATACAGCTTCGCCGTTCGCATGCTCTCGCTCTAACAAAAAGTGCCGTTTTTGTATTTGTAGAAGAAGAAATAAAAAAAAAAGAAAACAACTAACCTCATAAAAAAGTTCATGCAGTGAAAAAAACCAAGAAAATTTGCCAGCAGCATATTTGTCAAATAAAAAAAGTAATAACAGCAAAAAGAGTGTGCGCAATCTGTACCCTTCTCGCTCTTGCTCTTATATAAACGGCAAATAATTCTTGAGATTGGCTATAACAAAAACAACACCGACGTGAAAAAGGAAAGCTCTGCCTACAACAACGAAAATTTGTGGATTTACATTTCCTGTGTGCAGCAGCAGCAGCACCAGCAACGTCGTCTTTGCCGTCGTCGTCGGCGTTTCTTTTGTGGATTATTACTACCTAAAAACCGCTGCTCACTTTGCGGGCCGCACTCTCTTACTCAGTCGCTCTTACGCTCGCTCTCTGTCGCACGCGAGTGCAAGGGTCGCTGCGCGAGCAAGCCAGCAGGCAACGAAAATCCTCGTTCGCACCTTGCTCCCCACCATTCTCTCTCACATTCTCACCCATCCACTACTCACTACTCTGTGTCTCTCCCATAACGTCGCTCACCGCCGCCGCCATCAACAACAACACCAACTAAAAACAACAAGAGCAGCAACAACAACAGCGACTGCATGCTGTCGTCTATGAAGCAGGAACGAGCATATCAACAGCAGAAATTGCGATTATTTTGGATTTATAAAAAGGCAAGTAAGCAAACCTAACCAAACACTTCTCATATGTATGCATGTACGAGTATGTATGAATATATGAGTGAATGTCAGTGTGTGTGTGTGTACATGTGTATATTTGTTTAATGTGGCATGCTATAAATCCCAAAAGACGGCCCCCCGCCGCCTCACGTTTCGCTGTTGTGCGTGGAAGCGAGATAGTTGGCTGCGTGCGGCAGAGCGAGAGCGGGCAAGAGAGTAAATTGATTTCCAGTTTGATTAATTGCCGCTTGCTGCTGTGGCTGCTGTTGCTGCTGCTGCGGGGCGCATGTTTTTTTTTTTTTCGTTGCCTCAAGTTAATGCCAATTAAGGTGTTTCAATTTAAGCCGATTTGTAATTAAATGGGTTTTTTGTTTGATCTGACCCCTGCACACCGTTCCCCGCTCAAGCGATTAGAAATCGTCAGGCGGCTGCGCAGCAATTTGCCCATAAATATGTATAAACATGCTAAAAACATGTCAAAAAAATTGCCATTTTCAGATTTATGGCTGACGATTTAAATTGTTGCGTTTCGTATTTTTTTCGAGCTCATTAAACGTGGGAAGTTTGCTTCTTAAACACTAAGGGAATTATATATTTCCCCCGCTGCTTTTTTTTTAAGTATGTATGTGTGCGGCCGTTCCGACGCGGCGGTGACAAGCAAATGACGGCTCATTGAGTTTTTATTATTACGAATTTAAAGTGCACGCACGCACACACAGACATAAGCACTCACACTCGCTCAAACAAGCGCAATGAGAGAAATTCCCATAAAAGGGGCGTCGTCGACAAACAAAAGGGACGAACAGAGCAAATACATGCATAAATACAAATGAAAAAGGAATCACGCTGCCTAATGAAGCCTGCGGCGCGCAGCGCAGTCATGTCGGCCATGTTGGGGAGTACGAAGTGACTAAATGACGAAGCGCCCAAACGACGAACCGGCCGAAAGACGAACGATAAACAAACCGTGTGCAGTGTGAGCGAGAAGCAGATGGATAGAGTGGGAGGGGGAGGTCCAAGCGCACGTAACTCACTCGGCTCCCTTTTGGGCGCCGCGTATCTCGCTCTCTCTTTCTCGCGCTCACTTGGGCAATTGCTTGGGCTGGTTCTAGCTCGTTTGCACTCGCATACAGAATTGGCTTCTGCTGTGTTGCGTGTTTTTGTTTTTGCTTTGATAAGTTCTTGCCTGGGCGTGTTTTGCATTTAGTTGAAATTATGAAATTTCAACAGTGAGCGTTTGTGTGTGTGTGTGAGCACAGCAAGTGGTGTCTGTGTTTATGATAAAGACATTTATTCTCTTAATGACTTATGGCTGTGCAATTCGCTTACGTTTTCTACGCGAATAAAGATAAAGAATAATTGAAAGTTTTATTAACTTTTTAAGGATTGATTTTAAATGACTTTTTAGTAGCGCGCATTTAAGGGTTAAGAGTTTAAGTTTAAAGTTGATAGAAAAGTAATTGAATATATTTTCTGTATGTATCTCTATTATATCATTTAAATGAATGAAATATGGCTTTAATTGAATTTCCTTCGATTGAAATTGCTTTTATGGCAATTGGTTCTCTCAGATCTTCTAATTGATTAGCTGTGTATTGGCCGGAAACAGTTTTCACGCAGCAATACTGAAATGTTTTTGACAGAGATGCCGCAGTAATGTTTTATTTTTGCGCTGTCAGACAATTAAGCAAACGAACTGCGTTAAACGCTCTGTAAACAAACATAATGAAACAAAACAGCAGCAGCGCAAACAACGACAACAACAACAACATCAGCTAGTCATCAACTGTAGATGGCGATACAGATACAGCTAGAGATACAAGCAATAGATAGATAGATACAGGAGCAGCAGTAGCAGCCGCCGCACAATTAAGCATCTATTAGACGCGCTCTCTCGGTCATAACATTAAAAATGCTTCACACAAATGGGCAACAGCCAGTAGGCCGAAGCAAGAAGCCAGCCGGCCAGCCAGCTGAGCAACCGCAAAAGCCAGCTAAATCCAAAGTCACACAGAAAACAAAAGCAACACAAGTGGCGGTTGGGGTTGAAGTGGGAGAATAGAGAGGGCAGGGTGGGCAGGCAGGCGAGGCAGGGAGGGTTGGTTGGTGGCGCGCACAATCGTGACGCCAACTTAGTTACGGTCATTAGCACCAGCAGCGCCGCCAGCGACAGGCCAAAGCTGCCTGCCTATGCTCCATATGCATGTATTACACACACACACACACACACAGAGGCACGCACACATGCACACATAATAATTTGTCACACTGTCGGAGTCGCTGGCAACTGCTGGTAAAAGTTGCTCCCAGCTATAATAGCAACAACAACAGCAGCAGCAGCAGTCAAGTCTTGTACAAGATACATGCACAACTACAGACACACACACACACACACACACATATGTTAACTGACTTTTAGTTGGCGCATTGGGAGCTTTTGCCTTTTTCTGCAAAGTGTAATTGGCTTTGTTGATGTTGCTGTTGCTGTTGCTGTTGCTGCTGTTGTTGTTGTTATTTTTGTTGTTGGTTGTTTGGCATTTGCCACCGTTCTGCGCCTCGAGACGATAACAATTTGAACGCTACAAATGTGTCAATTGCCTGACAAAACATTCCATGCACACATACACACACACACACGTTAGCTCGCATACGTGTTTATACGTAAATATAATTATACTTAGCTAAAGACTTGGTTTGCCTGCCTAATCATTGCTTTGATGAGAATTGGCATTTGTTTTCTGAGCTCAATTAACATGAGAATCAGCAGAAAATGTTAATTTAATGCTGTTAGAACTATTGTTAGCATTAACACGGATATTCAAGTTGTTATATAATTATAGGTAACATATTTATAAAGGATGTTCATAACAGCTCTTCAGAAATGTTAATTATATGCTGTTAAGGTCTACTTAACATTAACATTTAAACATTTGGGCTTAAGTCTAGTCTAGCAGATTAAATGTTAATTGATTAATTGATAAAGATTGTAAAGTTAACAGCAAAATGTTAATCAGGCCTTTGAGCATACTTTTTTGGACTTAGCATCAATAACAGTCTGTACATAAGAGATGTGGATAATAGTCAAACATAGCATTTTTTGTTATGTACAGATTCGGCTATGATATGTTAGATATATGTTAAACTAACACTTAAGCTGCCAAATGTTATTGCCACACTGTTAAGCTACTTTATTCGAAACATTCTCTAACAGCTTGCCGCACAGTTGTATCTATTACTCAACAATTTGAAATGATTAAATGGATTATGCTCAGAAATGGAAATTGAGCTGACTTAAAAATTATATCAAGCGCCACTCGTTTTCTGCTCCCTGTATACGCGACATAATATAAATCAGTCTGAGATACATACAGCTACACAGATACGGCTCAGTCGCTTAAGTTGGGTGATTTGTCAGGGCCCCGCCTCGTCGACACGATTAAAGCAAATTGATTTGTTCAATTCTCATAACTGTCTGACAGTGACAAACGTTTTTTTTTTCTACTATTTTATTTTCGACTCGTTTCAATACGCCCATGCAAATTAACAGTCAGGTTTTTAGCTTTCAATTGTGCAAGACTGGGAAAAAATGTACAATAAAAGAATACTATTGAATGTTAAATAAATGTTAATTAAATAATAGATACAATAATAGCCATGTTAAATAATAAATGAAATCATAATAAATGGAAAAAGCCATTAAATGAAATTTATTATGCCTCATGGGAAATGGAAGCAGTTGAAATGAAATCAAATCCAAGAATAAATGAAATACGTTAAAAGAAATCGAATTTTAAGTGTTATTAAAATGCTCTACATAGAATTGTCTGAGAAGATACTTATAGAATTCATATGAATTATATCATATAATATAGTGAAGTGAATATACTCTACCCAAAACTTGGTTTTCAGTTAATTGGAATTTTATTTGTTTTTTTCTTCTTCTTCTTTTTCTTTACTTTGACCTCAGCATATAAATAAATTTAAAAGCATTCATTCTAATTGCGTTTAATCAATAACAATTTCAAATGCTTTTCAACGCGATGACAAGAGCTCATAAAAAATTGTTGTTCCTTTTTTTCGTTTCCACTTAAAACGAATCAAAAAAATTTCAGACAGTAATAAAATAAAACAGAAAAATTCGTATTTTTATTTGCGAATTTGTACGCAAAGATTTGTACCACATTTCATAATAATAAACGAATGTTAAAGGCCGAACTGATCGTTTAAGAAGAGCGAGTCAGCGAGGGAGGGACGTAGCGAGAGCTAGGGAGCCAGAGGGCGGCAGGGGCTAGGGAACATGATATGGCGAGTTTTTTAGTAAAAACAAACAAGCCGCAATCAACAAGAGCGTCATTAAAAAAGCAAATTTCTGAACACGCTAAACACATGTAGACAAAAAAAAAAATAGCCAAGAAAAAAATAGCAACAGCAACAACAACAGAGGCACGAAAGCGTTCAACGTTCACTAGATAATGTGGGCCAAGCAACAACAGCAACAGCAACAACAACAACAACTGAAGCAACAAAAGAGACAACTACAATAAAGCTGCAAAAACTCTATGTTCAGCAACAAGAGAAGCGACGAGGCGCAGCGGCAGGCAAATTGATTGTGATGAGGTTTTTTTGCTTGTTGTTTAATACCCTGTAACTATAGCAAATTAGTAAAGAAAATGGGTATATGGAACAAAAAACAGGCCAAAAACTGCAAATATTGCCAATTGAAAATGATTCCTATAGATTGCTATATAAATCAAGAAGAAGAAGTAGACAACTCTAAAGTACTGGGTATCTGCTAGCTGGTTTATGTCACACAACGCTACGACTCGCTTTTTTTTTCGCATATTTAAAAGTCAATGCGAAAATTGAGTTGAAATTTGTGGCGAGTATCTTTTGAGATACAGACGCCGCACAGCCAATGCC